AAGGACAAACTTACTTCAAATTACCTCAGGAACCTGCCATTCTCGGACTGTGAGACATATTTGGGACACCCTGTATATCTGTTTGAATAAGAGATAAGATCTATTTTCTTTGTCTTTTTGTCTAATACGTTCTTTAATGAATGTTATTCCATCATAGAACGTGAACAATATTATTGTTGTTATAACGCGTGCATAATCGCGAATATTATAGAAATATTTTGCAGACAAATTTCTTTTTTCATTTGTTTAACACGTTCGTTCTTGACTCACGAAATATTCGTCCTATCTCGAACAGCTGGCCCCATCCAGTCACAGTGCACATGGTGCCGCTTTTCGGTTCCGCTTCAGGAAGGCATATCGGCCTCACATAGTCGCTGAAGATGACCGGTTTCTCGAGCCTCAGCATCGCTACATCGTTTATAAATCCGTTATCAATGTATTCGGGATGCAAAGATATGTAATCCAGCCGCAGGACCTGCTCGTACGGGCTCGGAAAGCTTCCTCTGCGGGTCGCTCCGATCCTCGCCACCCAATACTCGTCTTGAGCACTGGAACAAACAATTTCGTGCACTTCTCTCTTCTGCTATCTCGATCGTTCACGCTATTTATTCGACGCAAAACTTCCCGTAGTCGTTCGAACTTGTGAAAAATAGTACAAAAGTAGCTTCGCTCATTCGCTACGTTCTCCAACGAAAAGGATCTTCGAAAGGATTAAATTGTACAAATTGTACAAATTACGCAATTGTACAAGCAGTAATCCTTTAACCTCAATTGTTTGGCACAATGTAGTTATCCTTTCGTGCGTTTTAAAAGATAATATATCTATATAATAATATATCTATATCTAGAATTATTGTTAATAGAGGTTATGTCTAATAACCTCTAATATCTAATAATGCCTAATAATACGTTCAGAGTATCAGTTCGAGTGTAATAATTATTTTATATCGTTACAGTTACGCGCGCGTTATCGTTACTATTCATCGAATAATATCCGGTGTTTTATATTTTATTTACTATATATAGATATACTAGAAGTTCTCTGTTAACCGAAACTTCGAGAACATTTCCGTATCCATTTTTATCGTGTAAATATTCCATTTCGCAGATTATCGAAGCTTTTCATAGAAAACAAGATTAATCGACTCACTGGTAGAAGCAGTGTGCAGCGGATAAGATCCATCTATCGTTGATAAGCGCACCGCCGCATTGATAATCCCCCTCTTTGTACAGCGCCACCTGCCACGGCCAGCTTCCGGCGGATGAGCTACCACCGCCGACTATCCTGGAACGTCGGGAAACATTCGATCTATTTCAATCGTTGATCGTTTATCGATTCTGTCGTACTATTTCCTGCCTGATTGCAAGCTGTTCCAAGATCGATTTGTACAAGGAAAATCCAATTTTTGCAATTTACAAGGCTCTTCTATATTTTTGACGTCTACAAATTCATATCTAAAGCAACGTAAAGCAATCTTAATCTTGCATTTCAAGATCTTCGTTGTTCTATAAGTAATGAATTTCTTTTTGCAATTAGGTATATTTTATATTTTTATGTTTTATTAAAATATTTGAATATATTCTATATTATTTAAAAAATATATATAATAGAACTATAGTAGAATCTCGATTAACCGAAACTTCGATCTCTGAATTCTTTATTATCGATCCAAGGCGATTTATATTCAAATCTAACAGTTCGGTTAATTAACCGTTCCATTATCTGAATATTCACGTTCCCCTGATCAGTTCGGGATTTTGGAATTGCACGATTCCAAAAATTTGCACAATTCGGATTTTTCAGAAAATCAGAAAAAGATCAGTCCAGGTCTGGAACGATAATTCGATCGATTACAATTTGACCCGCGCGTTCGTTAAAATTTTCTGCAACGAATGTGTATCCCGTTGTTAGCGAATCGTGGGAGGGCATCGTCCTCGAGCGCGGTTGTATACACAAATAGTTTTACAAATGTTCCAGCCGGTATATAATTATGAGAAACTGGTTCAGTGAGTATACCTGGCCTGCGACGGAGCTTGCGTTCTTATTCCGCACTCAAGGTTCTTGCACTTGACCCTGAGAATCTCGCCGCTCGGGCACTCGGAAGGTTTGAAAGTCAGGATCGTTTTATCCAGGGGTTTCTCGTTGTATGACAGAGTGTAATAGGGACGGCTCGATTCTGGATTTTCGTCCAGTACCTTCTCGACCGTCTCGAAATCTCTGTGAACCATGACAAGTATATTATACATACAATATCACCAATATAATATAAATATTATATATAATAATTATGATTAATAATAAATATAAATAAATCGATACTGTTCGACCAGTTTTGTGATCTTTTTATACAGGGTGTCCCAAAAATGTCTCGCAATCCGAAAGTGGCG